GGCATCAGGAAGAAAATGAAAATCATCCATAGAGTAGGAGGAAATATTTGCAAATCACAGATCTGATAAGAATTAAAACTTCAGGATATGAAAAATTTTTACAATTCAACCACAAAACAATGCAAAGCACCTGAAAAGGTATTTCTTCAAAGACAGAATAAAAGTGGTGAAGAAGCATGTAAACAACTTGATATCTCAATTACAGAAAAGCAGTTAGTCTGGTGGCTGAGTCAGAAGGATAGCCACTTCCAGGTCACCTTAGTCTGCATAGTGAAAACTTGTCTTAAAATAAAGTAAAAAGGTCTAGGAGTGTAGCTCGATGATAGAGCTCTTCCCCAGCATGTGCAAGATTCTGGGTTCAATCCCTAGTCCTGCAGAAAGGAAGGAAAGAAAGGAACGTAAAATGGTCTGTGTACTGTGAAAAACAATTTGGTGCTTCCCAAAAAAGTAAAACAGAATGAGCATGTGACTACTGGGCGTGGTGGTGCACACCTGTAATCCCAGCACTGGGGAGGCTGAGGCAGGAGGATTGTTGTGCATCCAAGACCAGCCTGAGCTACGAAGTAAGCTCAAGGCCAGTCTGAACTGCATAGTGAGGCCTTGTCTCAAAAAGCCAAAAAGAAAAAACCAAAAAAAAAAACCGCAACAAAGAGCATGTGACTAAGCAAGGCCACTCGTAGGCCTACACACCAACTAACTGAAAAGAGATATTCAACTAAGTTATGTTTTTTTATGCATGTTCCCAGTGCCACTACGTACAATGGCCAAAAGGTGGAAATAATTCAATTGTCCATCTTCAGAAGAACAAATAAACAAAATGTGCCAAATCCATACAAGGTAATGAAAACTGTTCATAAAAGAAATGAAGCTAAGTGTGGTGGTACATGCCTATGGGCCCAGCTACTTGGGAGGCTGAGGCAGGAGCATCTCAAGTTTGAGGTAAGCCTGTGAAATTTAGAAACATTTTGTTTCAAAAAAAAAAATGCTGAGCATGTAGCTTTGTGGTAGGATACTCGCCTAATGAAGCACCAATGCATGGTACAATACTGATAAACTTCAAAAACATGAGGCTAAGTGAAAGGAAGCAGACATAAAAGATCACATAGTGCATGATTCTACTTACACGAAATACATAGAATTAGTAAAGTCAAAGATAAAATTCCAGTTTGTAAGGTTTCCAGGTGCTGGAGGTAGGGAGGAATGGGGGAATCGGGGTAGGAGAAGCTGCTTACTTAATGAGCTCTTTGAGAGGGTGAGGTTGAAAATGTTTTGGTGATGCTCCGGCAACTCTGCAGCTGCCCTATCATTAAATTATACACTTTTAAGTGATTTATGGTGTATTTACTGTCAATTAAAAGAAAAATAAAATGATGGAATCAGTTGTCCAGTTCATCTTTAGCTCCCTGGATAAGGTTGAATCACACTACTGAAACTCTAGCTTTAGCCACCGTCTGTCAGTACTCACATCTTTCCTTTTAAAACTGATTATTTTATTTTGTTAACATTATTGCAGTCCTGGAGATTGAACCCAGGGCCTTGCATCTGTTATCCAAGTGCTCTACCATGGAGCTATACCTCCAGCCCTACTTTTAAATTTAGATGAGGCAGGATATGAAGGTAGATACCTTCAATCCCAGCACTCTCAGAGGCTGGGGCAGGAGAATCTCAAATTCCAGCCCAGTTTGGGCAATTTAGCAATGTGGTAAAATCTTGTCTCAAAAAAATAAATACATAAAAATAAAAAAGTGCTGGGATGTAGCTTTTAGCACAAAGGCTCTGGGTTCAATTCCCACTACTGAAAAAAAAAAAAAAAAGGAAACAGTAAATGGAAAGCACTCCTGAGTCTTAAAAATAAGTCTCTCTGCCAGTTGTGGCGATGCACACCTGTAATCCCAGCATCAAGAGGCTGAGGCTGGAGGATTCCCACAAGTTTGAGGCCAGCCTGAATTCAAGGTCAGACTGAATTGTATAGCAGAGACCCTGTCTCAAAACAAACAAACAAACAGACTCACTCCTATTCTTACTGTTTTGTTTAAAAACCAGTAGTTGCTCTGAGGGACACTTAACATTTTTAATTGCAATTTCATTTCCTTCTAATTTAGAAGTAATTGGTTATATGCAACATACACTGAAACATTAGATGTATTATATGACAACTGTCCTCAATAAACATATATTACAGCTTAACATAAATAATTAGTAAACAGGCAGATGCAGTTTTTCCTTCTTCTTTCAAACAGAATCCCACACTTCATTTCTGCTTTTCCAAAGACTACACAGAGCTTTAACTGTTATGTATAGGTATATATGTTGGTACTGGGAATCGAATTCATGACCTCACATGTGCCAAGCAGGCACTGTGGCACTGAGCTATATCCCCGGGCCTTCTATATTTTTATTTTTTAAATTATTTTTCATTAGTACTTTCTTAAAATCAGAATTAAATGCAAGTGTAGAATGCTTCTTGGATAAGACTATAAGCCAGAGCTTCTCTGTTTTAAAAGGAATCAAAGCTGAGGCTGTAGCTCACTGGTAGAACATGTTCCTAGCATGGATGAGGTGCTGGGTTCCATTCCCAGAGCCATAAGAAATAATTAATTAAAGTAAGAAGAAGTCAGCAAATACTAGAGAGTTGTGAAAGCTAAAGGAGCATAGAACTGAGACTTTTTTCTCCACACAGTTAGAAGGATCGGAAGAGGAATAACTTCCTCTGCTTGGAGCATCTAACTTCCAGGTCAGTTAGAGCTATTCTTCTGCACTCCCCTGAACTCTGAGCTTGGAGGACATCGCTGTGTTGTCTTTGTGAGAGTCCTGCATTGAGTCTTTGATTGAAGAACATTCTTCGCATGAAGAATGTCACTGTCATTTCATCCTCCCAGCACTAAGATTATTGACGGAAAAACCAAGGCTTTGAGAGATGGGGGCTGAGCCAAATTTGCACAACTGGAAATGAGTGACAGCAAGATCTGAGCTACAGAGCCACTGAGAAGCAGGCCAGGGTTTGCCAACTCAGGGGTCCCTCGGGGCAGGCAGTGTTCATGAAGTACACAAACAAGACTGATTAAATTTGCCCTTTTGAGGAATAAATGGGCTCACCTCTTATTTTCCTGAAGCAGTTGACTGTATGCTCTTCCTTCTGCCTTCTTGAGGTTTTTTTTTTTTTTAAGAAAAATTTCTCTTTCATAACAAATCAACAGCACGAGGGAAGTATAGTCATTCACACATGGCCTTGATGTCATACAACCGGGGGACAAGGTAGAGTCTGAGCCACATGGCAAAGACAAACCCTGCTTAGAGGTGGAAGCGCCTCTAAACTCTAGCCAGTGGTCTCTACTGGATCTGACTGGAGCTCCTTTTAGGGGCTCCCATTTGTAAAGTTAAATATTCAGATATTCAAATTTTGATGTGAAATGGTTTTATTCTAACTAAGCAATTAGCTGATTTTTGTGGTACTGAGGATTGCACCCAGAACCTCAAGCACACTAAGCAATAGCTTTAACACTAAACTACACCCCTAGCCCTTTTATTTTATTTTGAGATAGGATATCACTAAGCTGCCCAGGTCAGCCTTGAACTTACAACCTGCCTGCTTCAGCCTTCTAGAGTACCTTGGATTATAGGCCTGTTCCACTGCTCTAGCTTGAGTTTTGGAAAAAAAAAAAAAAACTGGATGGAACTCTTTTCACTTCTGAGAGCACAGTAAACCAGGTAAAAGATTTATAGGTAACCAAGGGTCACCAACTTTCAATATAATTATCCCGCTTTTAATAAATGAGCACAGAGTATTCAGGAAAGGAAAAGTGATTTCCCAGTGTCTAAACTGCTGAGTGGTAGGGAAGCCCCAGTGAGTCTCACCTGGCTCAGCCCTCGGGAAGAGCACCAGTGAAATGAACACTCAGGGCTTGGGTTCCATGCAAGTTCCATTCCCATCCCCCACCCATTAGGCCAGGACCCAGCAAGGACTCCAGATCCCCAGCACAGAGTATCTGGGTCAGCACCTCAGAGCTACAGCCCAGGGTGGGGCCCTCACATCATGCCAATGTCCATCCATGCCATTCAAACATCATTTGTTTCATTTTGTTGGGAAACATTGCAAAGTGAGTTACAGAATTGGTGTTCATCACCCTTAAACACTTCAGGCTATGTTTTCCTTTCTTAACTATTAATTTACAAATAATTCAAGAATTAGGCTGGTCTTGAATTCACTATGTATCCCAAGCGGCCTCAAACTTGTAATGATCCTCCTATCCCAGCCTCCTGAACGCTGAGATCACAGGCTTACAACACCACACCTGGATTTCTGAGCTTTTTATATGCTTGCATTAGCTATGGAAACTAGTATAGTACTATTCTGAAAGTTTCTTTTATATTTTTAAACACAAATAATCACTATGGAAAGGTTATTCTGCAATTTGTGTTTTTTTCCATTGTATTGTGCTAGGGATTAAACCCAGGGCTTCACGCATTCGCATTCTAGCAAGTACTTTACTTTTGAGACTACATCCTCAGCCCTTATTTTTAAATTTTTTTTATCTTGACATGATTCCATTAAATTACCATCTGGCCTCAATCTTGTGATCCTACTGCCTCAGCCTCTCTTAAAGAGCTAGAATTATAGGTGTGAGCCTTGCACCAGCTGCAGCTTTTCATTCACATCTTTCTTTGCAAGTGAGCACATAGTTCTACCTTTACCTTAGTGATGGCTGCAAAATATTCCATAGTGAATCATGGGCTTACTTACCCAGACCGCTTGTGATGGACTTTTAGGCTGTTTATACTTGGAGTCATGTCTTTTCCTTTTTTAAAAAAACCCAGACCCCCAAAAACCAGGTTTCTGTTGGAATGTGTGTGTGTGTGTGCATGTGTGTCTTTCAAGTGCCCAGTGTGAAAGAACATTTAGATAAACCCAAAGGGGTGGTCTGTGACATGTTATTACAGCAAGGGCACAGGTGTCCTCCAGGGACCCTGAGGTTGACACATGTGCAGTGATGGGGACTCACCACACTGGATCTGGTGATCGACACACTGCCAGGGGTATCTCTCCAACTTGGGGCTGCAGCCAAACTCTTCAGCACGAGTGTAGCAGCAATCATGTTGGTGGCAGCACCTGTGGGTGTCACATGGGCAGGTAAGTGGAGAAAGGGCACGCTTCTGGATGTCCTCCCTTGCTGGGACGATGGGGGTAAAGACCTCCAAGGAGCCTGTGTCCTCTGCTTGAAGTTTTGTCCCAGCTTTGCCCCTGTGTGCCCTGCACAGCCCCCGTCTCCAGCCATGCCCAGGCCTGCCACTGCCAGCCTCACTCCGAGGTTTTAAGCTCTAATCAGCAGGCCTCTTCTCTTCCTGGAGTGAGCTCCAAGACTGTCTGTGTGGGACCCTCTGCCTGGGACAACTCATACTGTGTTTCAGCCCCCGCCTCAGGGTGTCATCTAAGCCTCCTCCTACCTCCCCAGCCTGCAACAGTCTCCTTGTTACACCTGCTCCTGAAACCCAGGCTCCCCTTCTAGGGCAGGTTTGTGATGAGTCTTCACTGACAACCTCATTAGCATCTGTTCTTCTGGATGATAGACTCCCCACGATGTGCCCAGGGCCCAGCCCCAGGCCTGCCACATAATAGGGCCTCAATAAACATTTACTGTCGAAAAACTCCCTAAGGAGCACTCAAACCTGTCATTCATCATTCATTCATTCATTCCCCGAGATTCTCCCCATCTGCAATTGGTCTCACTCTGCTGAGCCCTCAACAGAGTGTGGCACAGCAGTCAGTCAGCTCTTGCCCTGATTTCAGGAAGCCCCCAGCCTGGGGAAGGAGACAGGCTGGCCACCAGACCATATCACCACATCACCATGTGGTGATAAGTTCTGGGATGCATGATAAGCAGAGGGACTGTGGGAGCCCACAGGAGGTGGCAGAAGCCAGGAGATTTCAAGGAAGACTTCCTGGAGGTGGCAGAAGCCTGAGCTGGCTCTGCAGGATGAGCAGACAACCAGCCTGTGGAAGTGTATGGGTGACAGCAGGAGCTTCCAAGGCTCAGGGGTAGTAAGCCAAGACCTCCTGCAGACAGTCACATCTGAGATAGTTGTGAGGACACCATATAGCACTGTAAGGACAATGAACAAATTCCTGGACCTTAACAGTTTACTTATCAAGGGCATGATTTGTATTTTCTCCTAAGGTGATGACTTCAAAGTGGCTTTTGCTAAAAACCATGACTCTTCAGTTGAGCCTACAGATGCCCAAAAGGTAAGCAAAGGTAGAACAAAGCTTGATCTTCCTTTTGCAAAACTCTGGGTTTCTTAGCTCTTAATTTACCTACCCTGTCTCATCCCCTGCAGGACAGAGGACACCAGGATAAGAGATTTATAGGGACTCCCAGATTTCTATTGCCCTACACCTACAGCCACTTGGATTCCAGCAGAGCTTTGCAAGACGGAAATTGCCCTGCAAGTCACAAAGATTCAAGCTAAGCTATGAGACCAGGACTGAAGCTATCATTGACCAGACACCAGCCCACTACAACCACCCTGTAAACCTGGCTCCTTGGATCCAGCAATGGCCCCCACCAGCTATGACCCAAGAGGGAGTCCTTTTCCTTATCATTTTACCTTTTTTTGGTACTGGGGATTGAATTTGCAACCTCACACTTGCCAAGTATGTGCTTATGCTACTGAGCTAAATCCCCAGCCCTTACCTTTCAATTTAAGCTCTTTTCCTGCAAATTTGTATTTTAGTTTTAATTTCCATTATCACTAAAGCAAGGACCCACACTAACTGGTGACACAGCTTCCCATCAGGAGGAAGCAGCCAAATCCCATGCTGTGTTATTTACTGGTTTTGTGTGGGAATGGGGGAGTGGTCACACCTCACAGAGCCTCAGGGCTTTCATCTGTAAAATGGGTCTGAACACTGCAGGCTTCTCTTTAAGCAGGGACATGAGGGTAAATGACAAAGCCACAGAAGGATGTCAGGCCACACCTCTGCACACAGCAGGCCCTGCTCACATGTAGCAAAGGCAGAGGTTGGGGATGTGAATGCAGCCAGGTCACCTAGATTCAGATCCCAGCTCCCATACCTCCTACTCTGTGCAGCCCCAGCCAAGTAACTTAATATCTCTGTGCCTGAGCTTCCTTGTCTATGAAATGGGGTTGTTTTGATGACCTGCGGGGATTCTCAGAACAGTTTCTAGTGCATAGTAAGTCTGGTTAGCTTAGTCAGGTAGCATAAAAGCCCATGGCCAAGGTCAGAGCTGGATGTGGAGGTGCACTCTGAGAGAGTTAAGGCAGCAATCTAGATGGGCAATCTAGTCATTTGAAGAGACCTTGCTTCAAAATTGAAAATAAAATGGGCTGGAGATGTAGTGGGGGGTGTGTGTGCGTGTATGCCTGAGACACAAACCACCACCATAGGATAGAGGACCAACATCCCCCAGGCCCTTAATTCATTACTCATTAAAATATGACTTGTGCTCTCCTCTGAAGCAGTCAGGGATTTGAAAGTTGCTTTTGTTAGAAACAAAACAAACAAATGCGACAAAACTAAGAACAACGACTCTTCAGTTAGCAGTGGGTAACTAAAAGCAGAACAAAACTTGACCTTCACTTGTATATCTCTCCTCCTCCTTTTAATTATGTTTATTGGTACAACTTAGATACGCATAAAGGTCATATTCATCATAGGGAATTTGCACCCGTATATGATATATTTTGATTTCACTTTTTTGGTATGTCTCTTTTACAACTAAAAATTTGGTTCAGATCCTTCCTCAACCCTGCTTTATAGGCACAGTTAATCATTTAGAGTGTCTGTCTAAAAACTGGTAAAACAAGGTTGATTAGCCCTAACTGTACATAACTTATCTCATCTCTCTTTAAGACTGAGGACACCAAGATAAGAGATTTACACAGAGCCACTGAGCTCCCGACAGGCACCAAGAAGTCTTCATGCATTGTCTTAAACCCATGTCAGCGTGGATTCCAACCCAGCTTCTATAAAACTGATCTTTCCCAAAGATCAACAGCCACCTCATGGGTCTCAAGAGACAAGGACTTCTTGAGAGCCGTCATGCAAAACCAGAATCGAGAGAAGGATCAAGCAGACCTTTGCTCAACCTCAGCCTCTCTGGAAAAATTGGCCTCCTTCCTTTTTTTTTTTTTTTTTCCTTTTTATCGGTACCGGGGATCAAACTCACAACTGCCTGCTTGCAAGGCAGGTGCTTATGCTGCTGAGCTAAATCCCCAGCCTGGCCTCCTTCCTTTTTAATGGGACCGTGTTCCCTTCAGCTCAGGCTGAAACTCCTTTCCTTTTCTCATTGCTTTCTAACCCTGACTAATAAATCAGCCCACATCACTCCCTCACACCACAGGCAATGCTTTTCTGCTAGTGTTAAGAACTTCTCTGGGCTGGACTTACTGGGTACCACAGCTTCATTGGTCACTGTTTCAGGAGGAGCTCTGCCTGCAGGACGATCCCAAAGCATGCTGGGATCTTTTGGGATAAAGCCTGGCTTCAGTTTTATATATTTCCTTATGGGCTCAACTACTCCAGGGCTTGGGTGGGGCTTCTAGTTTGGGCCTAAATAGGCACTCACCTGTCAGTGTCATCCAGAGGCTTGCCATGGCCTCCCAGGCCACAAAAACAACCATATTTTGCATAGGCTAGGGGAGGTCGAGTTCCCACACAACTCACAGTATCCGCCAGTTCCAATATCCCACGTCGGTACACGTGTGACCTCCTGGATGCTGGAGGATAAACAGAAGTTACAGCCTATAGGTCACGACTTCCCTGGCTCTAGGGAAGGGCCCTGGCCTGAGAAGGGGCAGGTATTACAGCCTAACCAGATTCAAATCCCACTTCCAAACTGTGTGACCTTGAGCAAATTATGAACCTCTTTGTGCCTCAGTCTCCTCATATGAAATGAAGGATAAGGTGACCTAACAGAATAAAGGAGAGACAGTAGGCACAAAGCACCTGGTGGATAACAAACTCTGTTACAATTGTTATCCTCAAGGCAGGGAAAATGAGGCACTGGTCACACAGCATGAGCAATGATAGCACTGGGCCTTTGCACAGGTCATTCCCTCTTCCTGGAACGCCCTGCAACTCTTCATCCTGTTAAGTTTAGACACAGACTACAAATCATGTATCAAGTGTTTGCCTGGCAGTTGCACTGGGCACTTGGGCATCAGAGCTAAATAGTGTTTCTATCATCAAGGTAGGTGCCTCTGGGGACTTCCTAGTCCCTGGTCCCATCCTTCTCCCTGACTCAGGGCCCCTGCCAAAGAGCAGCTTCCTTTCCGTCAGGGAGGCCCCAGGCCTGGGCCCAACACTTCTTTAGATCTTGGCACAGCCCTGACACATAGTGGTACTGAGGAATATGACTGGGACCTCTCACCAGCGGACTGGTAGGAAGAAGAAGGTTCCCATAGCCCACGAGTACATGAGCTGAGGCTTCAACCCAGGCTCTGACTCATAAACCAGTGCTCCTTCCTTCTTTCTTGCTCAGTAATGGCAGGGAAAGAGGAAGCCTGCTGGGTACCGGACTGAGAGATACAGCAGCAGACAGAGAGTGATGCATACCCAGAAACAGGCCTCCCTAGTGTTCCAGGAATTGAAGACAGTAGAGGTCTGTGCCTGGGATTTGGCCATCACATCTCTTTCTTATCCTAATCTCCAACCTCTTTTTGAGGCACTGTGGGGTTGAAGCCAGGGCTTTTGCCCCCAGCCCCTTTCTTTGTTCAATTTTGTGGCAAAAACTTGCTAAATCATTAAATAGCCAACGTTGCGCCAAAACTTGTGATCCTCCTGCCTCAGCTTTCCAGAATGCTGGGATTACAGTAAAGGCCACCATGATTGGGTCTTTTAACTCTTGATTAGAACAGGTTTTTTGGGAGGAGTCAGGACTAACTTTAAATCCAATTTTTTTTCCTGAGGGAAAAAGTAGCATATTTGTGCGTGTGTGGGAGGATAGAGATATATCAAGAAGAAAATGTGGAAAGGAAGTTCAGAGTTCACAGTTTTACCTTCCTCTCTGCATGACTGGTCCCCACTCTCCCAGCAGCCCACATATATGTTTCAGTTGCCAGGCATCGTGGCACATGTCTATAATCTCAGCACTTGGGAGGCTGAGGCAGGTGGATCACTGTGAGTTCAAGGACAGCCTGAACTACATAGTAAGATCCTAACTCAAAAAACAATCAATCATCAATCGATCAATCAATCAATAAAATGGGCTCTTGTGAGAGATTGTTCTTTAGAAGAAAGAAAAGAGCCAATTGTGTATTTCTAAACACATATCTGCCTCAAACTGTCCATGGCTTTGAGGTCCTGCTATTGCACCCAAGGCACGGGAAGGGGTCACTCCCACCTTTCCAACCCCTGTCTCCTGCAGCAACAGTCATGCCCTGTCTTCACAGTTATATCCTTTATAAAGGGGACCTCTGACTTGGGCAGCTCTGGCACACTTCCTGAGGTCTGTGACTTCTGGATCCACCAAGCCTCATGGCACACACTTACCTCAGCACTCTGAGCAAGGCACCTGTCCAACACCATACCCTGAAGCCTTCTGCCCTTTCCTGACCATTTTCTATATCTCAGGGCCTAGGAACTGCCCGGCAAGTGACCTAGGCACAGGGTGAACACCCATGCTGGGTTTTGAATTAAAGAAAACACCCTCTTTGTGCCAACATGGGCGGGGTGGGTCAGGCTGGGTCTGTTTGCTGTCTGCTGGTTGTGGGCAGCCTTGCAGGCACACAGCTTCCTCTGGGAGTGCTGGGCTGGTCGGCACCCGCAGGTTCCAGGGTGCATGCACAGGTACATTTGTACTTCTATGCCTGTGTGTGACTGAGTTTGTCCTGGAGCTGTCCTGAGTGCTCTGTGGTTTTACACTCACATGCTCCCCTGAGCACATCTTTGTTGATCTGCAGCATGGATCTGTGTAGAGGCCACCTGAGTGCCAAGGGGAGGCTGAGGCTGATCTTGTGCCTGGGTGTCTCTGTGCTTGAGGGGTCTGTATATTCCCTGACTAAATCTGTGCACCCAGGAATTGGCAGTCCCCCAGGGACCTCTCTAGGTATCACTTCCAGGGAGAGGTCGGGAGCTGCTTCTGTCTCCGCTTCTCCCACTGCCTGATGGTTCTACCAAGACTACACAGACAGGAAGCCCGGTGGTTAGAGGAGTGCAAGAGCTCTGGCTTTCCGGGGAGGGCTACAAGGAATGGGGAGTAAGTCACAGGCTGAGCCATCTTAGGATAAGGGTAAATCTGAGTGCTTGGGTGAGGTGAGTGGGTGGCAAGGCCGGGAGAGGAGGAGAGCACAGGGTTTCTGGGTGCCTGGGAAAGATGAGTGTTGTGCACCAGAAGAGAGGAGAGGTTGGCGCACGGGAGAGCGGGAGGGAGGGAGTCGGGTTGGTACTCACTGTCTGATGAATTCTGGCTGGCTGCGGGTCTAGACCCTGGCAGCAACAACAGCAGGAAGAGCAGCAGCATTCTGGACGTGCACGGACGTAGCGGACCCGGACCCGTCGCAGGACTGCAGGTGTGGAACTGTCCGCCAGGCTAGTGTAATCCTCAAGGCCACCGACCCCCGCCTCGGGCTCCGCCCCAGCCTCACCTTCCCCGGGCGGGCCGGGCGGAGCCACAGGGGGCGGGCCCCTGGGGCCTCGTGGGGCGTCCTCCAGACCTCTGCACCTGGGGCTCCTGTGGGCTCCACAGGCCAGTCCGAGCGCGGGGGCAGCCTCAGGGATGCCTGCGTGGAGACAGTGAGCAGAAAGGGGCCGCTCCCCACGCCCACCTGGGTCCCCGGAAGGCATGGAGTCTGGGAGAGGGGTAGTGCTCAATTTACCATACACCCCTGCTGGCCTCCGACTGGGATCCAGCAGAATCCGGAGTCTTGGGAGCTACATCCTCACTCATCCTTTTTTTTTTTTTAAATTATTTTTTGTCTTTTTCCTTTTTATCGGTACCGGGGATCGAACTCACGACTGCCTGCTTGCAAGGCAGGCGCTTATGCCGCTGAGCTAAATTCCCAGCCCCTTATCCTTATTTTTTAACCTTACCATTTTGAGACAGGGTCTCACTAAATCACTAAATTGCCCAGCCTGGGCTTGAACACAAACTGTGATCCTCCTGTGTCAGCCTTTAGTGTGCTGGGATTATAGGCTCTGTCCAACGTGCCTGGTCTTAAGACCTTTTAAAGTGTAGGGAATCTTGTTCTCCTGCTGTCCTTCAAAATCACTGTCCCTCCATTCTTCAGTCTCCTATCTCCCTACCACCACCACCACAGCAGTGGGGAAACAGGCATAAAGATGAGCCCAGATCCCAGGGGATTTTGGTAATACACAGGGCTGGCCTGGGGAGGGCACTCTCTTCGCGTCCAAGCTGCACAGTGCCTCCTCCAGGTGCCCGTGGGAGCCAGGGAAGGTGTACCCAACAGGTGCTCAATACTGAAAAGACAATTGTGCACCGTGTCTGTTGCCTTTTATCCCTGATGCCAGCACTACCCAATTAGTCAACAATTTCTGCTGCTTTCAACTCTCCAGTAACCTAGGACTCGAAGTAGGTGCTGTGTCATATCTCCATGGTCAAATGTTACTAAGGATGACAATGGCCAGAATGAAAGTTCCCCTCCCCTGTACCAGGTGCGAAATCTCAGTACAATCTCAGGTCCTCAGGCGCTCCCTTTTCCAAGGAGACACAGGAAGCTAAGAGCCAAGAAGCAGAGAAAATGAAATACAAACTGATTTCCCTTTTTGATGCCAAGCTTCTTTCTGCCTCTGTGGCAGTCCAAGGCTTGGGTCCCCTGACAGCAACACTCTGGGATCATTACTGGCCTCCCTACTGGAGTATGACCCCTACAGATAGCTAAAGGCTGTGGTCTGCACTGGGCTTAGAATGGAAGCCCATGGGAGAGTTGGGGGAGCCCACAGGACAGTTGAACAAGCTAAGTTCAGAGCAGAGCAGAAAGCAGTGAACACAGAGAAGGGAGAGCTGATCCCAGAGCTTCATTCTATCACATCGTCCCCGGAATGGACTGTGATTTCTTTAGGACCAGGTCTGGTGTCCACCTCAAGGAGGTCTTGGTGGGCTGGAGGGACAGGCATGAAGACATGGATGGACATGGAGATATGACCAGGGCAAGGACAGAGGGCAGCACAGGGTTTTGGGCAACAAGAAGCTCATGGCCTCGGTCTAAGAGTCCCCTTTAGACCCTGAAGACAGGGCCTGGGCCCAGAATGCTGGAACAGGTGAGTCACTGGGGAAACCTATCTAGGAACCAGAGTGAGAATCAAGTGAGTATAAAAAGAATAAAGTTAGACAAAACAGATGCAGATGGTGAGAGAATCTGAGCCTGAATCCCAGCAGGATCTTCCAGGGTTCATCTAGGACCGTCTGTCCAAATGGGAGGCCCAAATGGGAAAAATGCAGGTTTCCAGGCTCCTGTTTCCCCTTTCATGTGGATGGCCAGTGGGAAGGGAGGGCATGAAGTAAGATTCATGATCTGGTGGTCTGTTTGAAAGAGAAACTGGCTAGAATGAAAGCTGAGGCCCTGGCCACAGTGGCTTCATCTTATAGTGCAGCCCCCACTCCACCCTTGTCCTGAGTGCTGAACTGCAGCCTAACAGGGCACTGGTCACTGCCACTGGACAGCGTGTTTCCCAGGAAGGACAGGCTGAGAGCTGAGTGCACACACGACTGTCCCTACTGCCTCTTCTTGCTTTTGATCCTGCTCTTGCTGTTTAATCAGTGCCCTATAAACCAGTAGCCTGGCACAGGGCATTGGAAACTTGCACGGTGCTTCAGAAGGCAAGCAGTCTACTGCTTTGTAGTGAGCCCTCACCAACTCAGCAACCCCCGAGCTGCATGCATCCCTGCTGTTCTTTGATCTGTTGCCCACCTTGCAGTTCAGAGGGAGACATTTTTACGTCTCTTAAGGAAATTCACTGAACAGTCCCAGAGGATGTTGAGTCAGGGACAGAAACTGTCCTATCTGATCTGGCCAAGTTAGTGAGGCATTAGGATCAAAGAAAATTCTCCAGCCAGGCATGGTGTTGCACACTTGTAATCCCAGCTCTCTAGAGGCTGAGGCAGGAGGACCTCTGTGAGTTCAAGGCCAACCTGGGTACCCAGTGAGACCCTGTTCCCAAACAAAACAAAATAAAACAAGAAAGAAAATTCTCCAACCCAGATGTGTGAGCTGAACTTTTTGGAGCAGAAGGGAAATGGTGAGAAATGAGGGAAGCACTGGAGGCAGCAGGACCCTCAGCCCCCAAGGCAAAGACCAGGAGGTGCCAGAGAGGCTGGCAGGGCTGGGGCAGCTGGATTGCTGGGAGTTGTGGGCGGCTGTAGAGGTGGCTCAGGCCTCCACCTTGTGGGCAGTGTTGGCATAAAGATCCAAACCAGAGAGAAATGTTCTCTTCAGTTTCCATCAGATGTAAGAGAACGTGACTAACAGTAAAGACTAGAGGGGGTAGGGAAGAAGGACTTAGAGAATGACTATTGGTTCAAAAAAACATCAAGCAATCAATCAAAACAAAACAAGACTTTTGAATCAAGTTACATGTGGTGGAACACAAACATATTCCCAGCTCTTTAGGTGTGCGAGGCAGAAAGACTGCAAGTTATAAAACAGTGGGTAATACAGCACTTTGACTCTGTCATGAAATAAAAAGGGCTGGGATGTAGCTCAACATTACAAAGTTCCTGGATCGAATCCCTAGTTCAACAACAAAGGAAAAATAGAAAACTTCCTGATGATTCCATAGCTTGTGCATATTGTCACCCACAATATTTGCTGGCCCTGTAGTAGAGAGGATTCTTCTTCTCCACCTGTCATGCAGGGTGGCATTTGGGTCTTATTTTGAGATGTGGGGTGGAAGAGAGCTTTTTAGCAGAAGCATTCACAGCTGCTTATGGCTGTGACATCTTCTCTACCACAGGACTGCTGATGCCCTCAGTGCAGGCAAAGCCATTAGCCTCACTAATGCATTAGAAGAACTTCTACCATTAGACGAAAAATTTCCTGGGTCAAAGGTCACTGACTGTTGACCTCTCAAAATCTTAGAGTGTAGGACAGGAGAGGGGGATTAAGGTGGAGTCCTCTTTCATAGGGTGGAGCCTCTCAATTGTAAAATGTGTTATTGGGACAGGAAAAACAAAAGAGAGAACTCAGGTAAAGAATTTGCTCCAGGATCAGTGTATTTCCCAGAGTGCTTAAGACCTTTCGCCTCCAGTTTACCAGAGTCCTGACTTTTTAGGGAAGGACCATTCACTGATATAAGCCTTTCCAGTGGTAGGAGGGGGCCCTCCCAGGTCTTTGGGTGCTGATCGCCCTGATGGGACTCAGTGCTTGGTCTCTGGTATGTGTGAAAATGAAGGCATTGTGCAGTGGGGAGAGCACTGGAGGTCCCCTCCCTACAGCTCAGGGCAACCGTGTCACCTGGAAGCCACCATCTTCAGGGACAGGCCAGAGGCTGGACCCATGAGGGGACCTGGGCATTATCAAGTGCAGTGAGGCCTGCAGAGAGCTCCCCAGGCACCTCATGGCCGGCCTCCCCAGGTCTCTGTTTCCATAGCCCTGGTCACCGGGGCTCTTCACAGAGATGCCGGTCTTGGGTCCTTCCATCACTTGCTTCCTGCCCTGCCTCAGTTTTTCCTCTTGCACTCTCTCCCCCTCTGCGCCCTCTCTGCTCTCTCGGGGGTGTTCTTTTCTCCATTCACTTTTCTTTGTCTTTCTCTGAAACTGACTGTCACCAGCTCTCTCTCCCTCTTGCTCTCGTTCTGTCTCTCCAGGTTTCTCCCAGCTCCGCCCCTACCTTCCCGCGTTTGCCTGCCTCAGCCTCTCCATCACGCCTGTTCGCTCTGCCCCACTGGCTCCTATTTTCACTCACTCTGTCCCCAGAAACTCTCTGCGGGCTCTCCTGATCCCGGCCACCTTCTGCTGTGCGCTCTTTCTCTGTGTCTTTCTCTCTGTCTGGCCTCCCCTTCCTCTTCCTCACTCTTTTCCTCCCTTATCCCCTCCTTGTTTCTACTTTCCCCAACCACTCTGTTCCTGCCTCCAACTCTGTCTTCTTGTGTCTTTCCTTTGCCTGCCTCTCTGCTCTATATCCATCTGTCCCCTTTCTCACTCTCCTGAATCCTGTCTCTGTCTGTTTGCTGGATTACTTGCCCAGGTCTTCTGCACCACTCTAAAGCTGGACTAGGAGCACAGGGTTAGACTCTCATAGACTGCCTCCCCTCTGTCCTGAGGGGCTCAGGCAGTCCAAGGGCCGTGGGAATCTGGTTCAGAGAAGCAACTCCCTTTGTCTCCTACTGCACTGGCAACCCTGTCCTAGAGCAGTGTGGGGACACCTGTGCTTTGACCCTGAGCTGCTAGTGGAGTGAATACGATCCCACATAACAGAAGGTACAGCCCTGTAGGTTACAAGTAAGGTGAAGAAAGGACTGGATTTGACGTGCAGAGGAAGGGCCAGACATGTCTTCCAGCTCCTTCCTGGGAGGGGTCCCCATCCCTGCACACTGCTCTGCCCACTCCTCAGTTAAGGAACCTGCATCAGGTTACCGTGCTCCTGAGACTTGAGAAGGA